ATCTAGCAATCCCACTAGTGGGTATTTACCCAGAGAAAAAAAGACATTGTTAAACAAGACACCTGCACTGGAATGTTTATTGCAGCACAATTCACAATCACAAAGATGTAGAAACAACCCAAGTGCCCACCAATACATAAATGGATTCATAAAATGTGTTATATATATACCATAGAATACAACTTAGCCATAAAAAGAAATGGTGAAGTAATACCTCTTGTATTAGTCTGGATGGAACTGGAGACCATTCTTCTAAGTGAAGTATCACAAGAATGGAAAAACAAACACTCCATGTGCTCACCATTAAATTGGAACTAGTTGATCGACGCTTGTGTGCACATATGGAAATAACATTCATCAGAAATCAAGCAGGTGGGAAGGAGAGGAGGAGATGGGTAAATTCACACTTAATGGGTACAATGCACACTATCTGGTTTATAAGCACACTTATAATTTTGAAATGATACAAAAGCAATTTGTGTAACCAAAATGTTTGTATCCCCATAATATCCTGAAATTAAAAAAATAAATAAAATTCAAAGAATAAATAAATACTTTTAAAAAGAGAAAAAAATAAAGGTACATGTACTTAAATCAAAAAAAATGTTCAAATATGGATTGTAAGAAAGTTCCATGAAATGCAAGAGAAAATAGAAACCCATCATAAAGAAGCCACAAAAACAATGCTGGAAATGAGTGAAAATTTCTCTAAAGAAATTGATGTATTAAAGAAAAGCCAAACAGTAAATGTGGAAATGAGAAATTCATTCAATGAATTATAAAACAGTGGAAAGCCTTAAGAATATGCTATTTTTTAAGTGTCTCTCAATAATGTTTACAGTTTCAGTGTAAAGATCCTACATTAGTTTTCTACTTATTTGTTACTGACATATAGAAGTCCAATTGATTTTTTGCAAATTTACCTTGCGTCCAGCAAGTTTGCAAGACTCTTCTGTAGTTTCTCTACAGATGTCCTTGGATTTTTTATTCACACAATTATGAATAATTCCTATTACACTCTTTTTTATGCATTCAATATTTTGCTGTTGCTTACTAAACTGCTTAGGAATTTATTCAGTACAATGCTGAATAGATGTGATACTAGTGGGCATCCATGTTTCATTCCCAATCTCAAAGCCAAATTGTCAACATTTCACCACTAAATATATGTGTCTTTGCTATATAAATTTTGTAATTTCCCTCAATCATATTAAGAAGCTCCCATCTATTCCTAGTTTCCTTAGAAAACTTTGAACTGCCATTGAATTTTAGTAAATGTGCTTTCTGCACTCTTGAGATGATTACATGATTTTCCCCTGTTGCTCTCTTAATGCAATAAAATATATTGATTGATTATCAATATTAAACAGCTTTGCATTCTCAGAATAAGCCCAATCAGGTTATGATGTATTATCATTTTTATATTTCATTGATCATAATTTGTTTATAATATTTGCATCTATATTCTTGAGAGATTGACCTCAATTTTTTCTTTCTTCTAAGGTCTTTGTCATGTGTTGGGATTAAGTTTATGTTGATCTCATAAAATAAAATAAAAAATATTCTCACTTTTTGAAATGTCTGGAAGCACTTGTGTAAGATTGGTATTAATTTCTTCTTAAATACTGGGTAATATTCACTGGTGAAGCCATCTGAGTGAGCATGAAATTACTTTTAAGAAAGGGTTTGATTTTTGTTCTCAATGTAATAGTTACATAGCTATTCAGATTTTCTTACTTTTTTAAAAATAGAGCTTTGCTAATTTGTCCCCATTTACTCTACCTTTTCAAATTCATTAGCATAAAATCGGTAGTAATGTCTTATTATTGTCTTTGTAACATCTATAGAATTTGCTTTGGTGACATCTTTTTCCTTCCTGACACTATTAATTTAGTCTCTTTTTCTCTCTCTCTCTGTGTCTCTCTCTCTCTCTCGTCTCTTCCCACACTGTCCTCTCTTTTAACAGTATTGATGCAGATTTATCAATTTTACTGGTCTTTTTAAAGAATCTTGTTGGCTTTGTGGATTTTCTCTATTTCATATTAATTAATTAATTAAATTATATTTATATTATATTTATTTATTTATGTTTATGGACTTCCTTCTGCATTATTGTATTTAATTACTTCTTCTTGAGGTGGAAACATTGATTTTCAGCCTTCCTTCTTTTCTAATATGCAGTATACACTTAGAACTATAAATTTCCTTGTAATCACTGCCTACCCCACAAGATTTGATTTGTTAGATTTTTATTATCATTAGAATATAATATTTTCTAATTTCCAGTGTTAGTTCTTCTTTAACCATAGATTATTTATATCTTCTTATTTTCCAAACACTTGGAAATTTTCTTATCTTCTGTCATTCATTTTTAGCTTACTTGTACTGGCTAAGACTTTTAGTATGATACTGAAAATATTGGTACCTGATCTCATCTCCAATATTGTATGTGACCTTTCAACATTTCTCCATCTAAGTAAGATGTTTGCTACAGGATTTTGGAAGTATACACTACCGTGTTAAAGAAGTAGAACCTGCAACCTTAAGTACTTTGCTCTACTTCCACTCATTAAGCAACATTCAGAATATTTTCCCTTATTTCATGTATCTCCTAAACTCAGCCAGTGCTAAGAAATGTCTACATGGTCACCTAGGCCTGCCAGTCTCTTCATGGAGGTTAGGGCTTATCTGAGTCATTTCAGATCTCAGGCATCATGGTTAATCCGGGGAGGATTCTTAGAGAATTGTCTTTGTGCATCTCTTTTTCCCTCTTATCAGGCATCTAGTTCCTTGAACCCCACTCTGCTCCTCTCTCTCTTCCACTCACACACAACTCCACCAACAAAGAAAGAGGATCTGCTGTCAACCATCTCCTCCCTACCTTGAATACAAGTCATATTTTTTCCTTATTCCAAGGTATTTGCATTGCAACTTCTGTACTTGTGGGCTGACAAGATTAAATCATTCCCTCCCACTTCCTGAAATGGTTTTCAGTTCTCAGCAACCAGTGGACAAAATATTTACGTGAGTAACACCTTTTCCAGGTTCTCCTGGAACCATGGCATTTAGTCTGGGGCTAGTAGACAGACAGCATTTGTGCTTCTCCATGGCCCCTGGCACCCTGGCAGACATTGTTAACTTTCCAATAGAATGAAGTCCTGCTATACTTCCCAACATTGCACTCCAGGCTCTCAAAGACCACATCTTCTAACAGATACCTATTCTCCTCTGTGAAGATCTGGCTTCGTTGTGGGCCCCCAAGTTGGAAGGCCCTTTGGTGGGAGATGTGCTCTCTAGGTTGCTTCTCATAAGCGACTATGGTTTCTCTTTTCAGCCACCCTCCAAAGAATTGAGGAGAACATCGCCCACAGTATAGCATGGAAAGATTTCATTTTTAATAAGTGGATTTCAGTTTTTATATATTGAGAAAAAAATCAGTGGCCTAGGAAATGAAACTAGCTGCCAAAACAAAGAGTCATTTTTCATGGGGCAAGGGTTGAAACTTACTTGTATCCTGATATTTTTAATTGAAGGGGAAAAAAAAGCAAAGCCAGATGAGTCACTATATTGTGATTGATTTTCATTTCACTTTTTCTTTAGTTTCCAATATTCATCTGTCCTCTCTACTCTCATAACTGGGAAGTTTTTACAATTATCTCCTTTTCCATCTCTTTTCTTTATGCCTTAGGCTCCCAGGGCTCCTCTTATTAGATGAGTAAGTGATAAACATTTTTATGACTAGTACAGCTAAGCAGAGATTCTTTTTTTCCCTAGAACAGAACAGAGCAAAGGCCAGATCAGGCCTGGTTATTCCAGAAGAAGGAAAGGGCACTAGCTTCAACTTGGCTTCATCTTATGCCAATTTGCTTAATTTGGACTTTCTCTTAAAGAAGCAGCTTCCTGGGCTACATTGTTCTGCTCTTTGAGGAATTATTGATAGCTTCTTTCAATTGTAAAATGCCTTAAATATATGAAGAGTGAGTTAAGAGTGATTTGTTAATTATGCAATCATGCATGCTATACCGAAGTGAATAAGAATTTCTTTTTACAAATGTGAGTGAAAAAGCAAATCCTCTTCTTCTTTTTGATCATTAGTGAAAGGCAATGTCCACACAAATGAAGGTCCATATTAGTGCTCCAAAGTTATTTTTCAGGTGAAAACAGAACACATTTGTATTGTAGAATAACAACTATTTTTGTGTGGAACAAAGTGCCACATTTCTATCTTTCTGACCTTCCATGACCTTGAAAATTGACCACTGAGTTGTGATGGGAGGAAGAGGTCATAGTCTCCGAGATGACTGCAGTTGTTTTGCTCATGTCTGGATTTGCAAGTAACTTCTGGGTCCTTCCGCCTCCTCTTTCTTCTCTCTTGCCATTTCTCTTTACTGGCATTCAAGGGCAAGCGTATAAGAAACTTACCTATGAAAGCCCCCCTGTATTGAAGAAAACACGAAGGGTTTGGGAGGGAGTGGGAAGGCCAGTGGGAAAGAGCCAGCTTCTATTTACTTTATGTGTATTTCTCAAGAGAAAGATGTTCCCTTTCAAGAGACTGAGACCACCCAGGACAGTGAAACAGCCTTGAGACAGATGGTCTCCTCAGATGGGCCTCTTTGGGCACAAGTTGTCTTACTCCTCTAGAGACTGGCTGGGAAATTTGGTCACATTGCACAACAGGTCCTGGAGATTCAATCTTTAACACAGACAAATTTCAGGAGAGAGGGAGGGTGGATTTCCAGCCATCCCTCTTATATCTTCCTTTCCAAGCCCTTTCTGTTCTGCCTGAACCCCCTCTTCTTATTTACTCCTTGACTCCCCCAGCAAGTCCCTGTGCATTGACCTCCTTGAAAGTCAGCTTACAGATGTGAGAATCCCAGTCCTTTCCAAGTCCCTGTGGTTGCCACATTCATTACTCATGAAAGAGACAGGGAGCCCCAACTCCCCACAGAGCCTCTGGTCTTTACTTTACTTTATTTATTTGTTTATTGATTTTGCCGCAGCTCCTGCTGGAACCCAGGGAGTCTCAGTCTCCTTGACCCAGTCCGTGAGCACTCAGGCTTTGCTAGAAAGAGCCGTCAGGTCTAGCATCTCAATCAGGTGAGAGTTGCAGTATTTTAATTTTTTTTTTTTTTTGAGATGAGCTCAGCCAAAAATGTATGCTTATACATTTTCATGGATGTTCATACATGTGTGAATTTAAAAACATGATTATGAATGGAGGCAAAGGAAAAAAGCCTTCCTGCATGTGCAATACTTAAAAATAACAATACTGAATGTAAATAAAGGGGAAGGCACTTCCTGTAAGTTTGTGAAGAGTTCCGAAAATAGCTTCAGGCCTAAGCCAAAGTTAACACAGTGACACAGCCGGAATTTCCATGAAAGCATTGGTACGTAGGGTGTTTGTGCTAGTAAAATTGTGCAAATACCTACAGCTTAGATGCTCTGTTCACCATAGCTTGACTGTCTTGCACTCAATGACTCGAGATTCCTTGGTTCTTATGCCCATTTTTAACTCCCAATTTAAAAGGCCTCAGTCATGTACCTTCTGATGTTCAAAAACTTTCAAACCTGTCCTGTATTTTGTAAAACAGCATGAAACCCTGCCTTGTCATTAAATCAACACACCAAAATCATTATTCAGTCAGTGTGTGCGATATGTGTGTGTGTACACACTCATGCATGCGGGGTCAGGCCAGGGAGACTTTCCTCTTATCCACCCCACTGCCATTTACCATAGTTCTCTACATCATAAAAAAAGAAAGGAAAACTATTTTTCTATGTTGATAAAAAAGACTTAGGTTCAAATGATGATTTTTCAAAACTGTTTTCACTGAAATTATCACATTGAATCTTTGCAAAAATCCAGGACTGTAGGGAAGCCAAAGATTCAGAAAAGTTGTAAAATTCAGTGATCCCTGGATTTTCAATTTCTTAGACTGGTAAAAATTTAAAAATTATTTAGGAGGCCATTTTTGGATAGCAAAATCGGTATTTTGCCAAAACAGAACATTTTAAAAATGTGCATCCGTAGTGATGAGGACACTCAATGCCACACATACTATGCCGTGCACTTCTCCATGGGCTCTCCAGTCAGGTTTCCTTGGTGATACTACCTATCAGTACAGTGCACGCTATCCCATCATAAGGTTAGTGTACATCATACTGACACTGAAAGCTCTGACTTCAGCATGATACAACTCATCCACGTAACAAAAAACACATATACCCCATATAAAAGTTTACATTTGAAAAAAAGAATGAGCACTATAGCCAATGTTAAATAAACAAATAATCTCATTTAATCCTCACAACAACCCTGAAAAGGTAGATGGCAAGGTCAGCCAAGTTGCCAAGAGCCGTACAGCTAACAGGTGGCAAAGAGGATGCTCTGACCAAGAAAATATGAGTCTGGTGGTTGTATACTTAAAAGCCATGCAAAATTTTCTTTTCAATGTTATTTTTTATGAAAGAGTGTATGCATTTTTGCCTCAAACATTATAAATCATTTGGACATAGCGTTAGAATAAAGAATAGCCCTTCCCAAGAAAAGACAACTCAAAATTATACAAAGGCATATATGTATATTTTATTTACTTAATATACATGTAGACATATATATGTATGTTTATATACACATTTACATATGCCCCGCATTGTACTTCACTTTAAATTGTTATTATGTAACAGCAAAACCTTGGCAGTGGGTGGCCCTATCCCATGGCACATGTTGGAACTATTGATTTGGAGATTCTTGGACAAATTCTCTCGTATAGATCTGAAATCTATCCCATTGCCACCCAGAAAGCAAGGTACAGCAGCATTTGTGGTGTCTCCCAGGAAGAAAAACTCTACATCTTGTAACAAATAAAAACTGAACTGCTTCTTCCATTCTTTTAGTGTGGATAATAGAGAAGAGAGAGAACTGACCCCTGGAACCTTCCTCAAATGAGTGATAGAATCATGAGTAGATGTTCCCATCTCCCCCCATTCCTTTCCAAGGAGATATTATCAAAGCATTCAGAGCATTCCCAAACTCCTACTGCCTCTTTGAAGAGGTCATCCAGTTATCTCGGTTTGACCTCCAACCACCAGGAGAAAAGAAGAGTGAAAAGTCTAGAACTGCACAAGCTTTAGATGAAAGAAATCTTAACAGTAAAAGGATGAAACCTCTTTAGATAATATCTGAGTTTGGTTTCATAATGTTTTGGGTAGAGAATGAAAGGTCAAAGGTAAACCTTTAACTGGTCTCTTGGTGCCCTGAAACTTCCATCTCACTGTTTATTATAAAGTGTTTCCTGATTTGAGTAAGGCTCTGAACAATTCCCCAAGCTTCAATGGCTAATAATGTCAGGAAAACTGCCCAACCCTGGAATCCTCATCCAAAGGGATTTTCATCCCACTCTGCTAGGTCTTGGTGGTGACGACTGTCAAGACTCAGACACGTAGTCTGGTGTTCTGGTAAATTTTTTCTTGAAGGTCTTTCTTCTCTCTTATCAGACATAGAAGTTACCATCTTCTCTGTGGATGTCAGAAAAGCCCTGGTTCTGGAAGCTTTGTATCCAGTCATACTAAAATCCTTTTAAGGCTCAAGGAAAATATCTTATTTTGCTTAAAATATCTGATAGTAATCAAAATAAAAATGGCAAACTAACTTTTTAAGTGATTTAATTTTCTTTGATGACTACATTCATCACCCCTACACAGATGATTCTAAGATCTATTATATGTTTTTCACTTTGACTTCTTATCTGGATTGCTTTTTAATGTAATTATTGCGTGCAACATGCATCTATTTGGATGGTCCCTTGTCACCTCAAATCAGCAGTTCCTAAAAGGACTCATCATCCTCTGCTCAGCCCTTCTCTTATATCTACCAAGATATAAGAATAAAGTATTGGGATGATTGTTTTAAAAGTTTTCTGTCATTACTGCCTTCTAAGCACACACTTAATTTACTCTTTCCTCTTTACTCTTTTTCCTTTTCCTCTTTTCCTCTTTCCTACTCTTTCCTCTTTTTTCTGATTGTACTATTAAACTGCCTATGCCTCTGCCCGAGACTTATCCAGGCTGACTTTGACAGATAGTTAGACTTGTTCACAATTCTTCCTCCTTTCTGTGTCCTTACCATGACTTCTCTCTGGGTAGAGTATATTTCCCTTCTCCACCTCACTGATACCAGGCTTGAATATGTCACTTGGTTCTGTCACATGTAGTGAATTAAAATGAAAAGTCATGGCAAGATTTTGCCAGCCCTCAGAGCATATGACATCTCCCGCTAGCAAGCATGCCCTAGCTAGGCATAGATCTTGCAATCTGGGTCTTAGAATGAGAAAACATCCTCTGTAGCCCAGAGCCAAATCCAGCTGAAGCCGGGAAAGCTTAGTCAAAACCCAGCAGAGGCATACCTAACGTGCAGACTCATGATCAAGAAATAAATGCTTGTTGGTATAGGCCATTAAGATCTGGGATGTGTTTGAAACACAGCAACACTGCAGCAAAACTGACTTATACACTAAACTGTGAACTGTTCTTCACCTTGAATTATATCTTCCATTCTACGCTGTTTACATATACCAACTTTTCCCTGCCTTGCTTATTCTTCCTGTTCCCTTTCTCCTCTCTACTTTTACAAATCCCTGTTCTAGCTCCCCTTCATATATAAGGCTTTCTCTGACCCTTTATAATCTCTGACTACTCCCTCAGGCTTAATATAGACTGAAATAAATACCTTGTATTTTATTTCCAAATTATTTTATTTTTGATTATATAACTGACTCGTATTCCCTTAATGGATTATGACACCTTGTTGAGAAAGCTGTTTATCGATGTAGTATAAAGAACCTTGGCATTGAGTCAAAAGCCAATAGTTCAAATCTTGCTTCTGCCACTTGCCTTATAAACTTGAGCGAGCTATATAACCTCTCTGACCATCGGTTTCATTATCTTTAAAATGGTGGTTTTAATACAGGACTCAGAGGAAAGATTAAATAAAATAAAACAGACTATAAGCTCTATAGCTTGTCCTCACTCACGTTCACTCACCCACACCCTACTCTAGCCACTTTATTTTATTCCTTTTGCTATGATGCAACAAAACCAGTTTATGCAGATGTTTGAAATGATTGGAAGGTTTTGCATGAATCTTTCTCAAATAGGCAAAGTCAAATCAGTCATCTTCTAATATTTACACAACATCAAATTTAACCTAGAACTACAATGATCCATTAAAGCACAGTAGAAATTTAAGACATGGTGTCTTGCTTTGACAACTCAATAGTATAGCCTATAAATCAAAAGTAATGAACACCCTTGAAAATAATTAAAAAACAGCTAAGGGATGAATTGTGCAGCCAGATTTTTTGAAGTTCAATTAAAAAAAATACGTAATCTAAGTAGTCTAAAAAGTGAAGAAGCTTTCAAGAAGGAAATTGGGCTGAATGTTTAAATAGATAGGCAGAAGGTTGAAGAAAGGGTATTCCAGGGAGGATGTGAGTAATGTCAATGTAGTCCAATGGAAGAAGAATGACATGACTTATGCAAAGACAATGGACAGATCAACCTGTAAGAACAAATTTACGCACCAGGCAGAAGACAAAATGAGATTGGTTTGGTATAGTGAGGCCAGAGTAGGAAGAACCTGGAAAAATTGGTTGGATTTTATATTGTTGCCAAGAATAAACTATTATTATATGTCCTTGGGCAGGATAGTAGCCTGAAGGATAGACAGATGATATATGTAGTTTATTATTCCCCCAGCTCCCAATAAATAATTAATTATACAAAAGCATTTTGCATTTGTTCTTACCTTTTCTGCTTTCTGTTATTCTTCCTGGATCCTGTAATATATTTCCTCCAGTCATAAACCTAACATATGTATAACCTTTTACTAAACCTTTCTGAGGTCTATAATAAGTAATAATAACTTTTGGAAATAACTGTTTTTAAAAATGAAATCTTTAAAAATTAGAGTTTATTGGTCCTGATTTCTTTTCCCCATCACCTGTACACAGAAGGAGAGCAGGACAGATGGGGAAAATTACACAAATCTATCTCACAGTGAAATATTACAATATTCAATAATTTAAAACTTGCATGATGATTTTTCTCATTTGGGACAAAATAATATTCACAAGTTTATCATGTGTGTATTTTCTATGTTTGAAATTTAGATTTCATGCGCCCCCTTTTTTTTGCAAAATTCTCTTAAGTTAGAGACTTTTTTAAGAATAATTATGAGTGATAAAAAGAGCTGAGTTGAACAAAATTTCTCATAATACTGATAGAGGGATTGAGCTTTGAACTTGCCTTGGAATTGTACTCCATCTCTCCAAAATTGTTTAGCAAAAGGATCAGAAATCCTTGAACTGTGGCTTACTCTCCTCTCTATCAGTAGTCATAAGGAAGGAAACCAGTAATTTTTTTTAAAACTTCTTGGCTTTTCTAACATATTGTTCCTCTGACAACAAAAGAAGGGAAAAGTGTGCTTAATTACTTTGTGAAAGTAAGAGTCTGATATTAGCATGTATTAGATGGAAGACAGATTATATGGTAACGATAAAGAAAAACTGATTAGTGGCCCAAAAGAGAGATGACAGATACTGTTTTGTTTCATTGTCTTTTTGATTTGCTAAAACTTCTTTTCTTTCTTCCTAGACTTGAGTCACAGTGGCATTAAGACTTCCCGTTTGACTGCCAAATCCTTTAAATGAACCCATTCATGCCATCTGAATGCCGCGTGGTAGCGAGCACGTTCCGTCTGGTGTTTCCAGACTCTGAAGTCGGATTCTGTCACTTCCCTTTTCCTGCTGTACAGCACACGGGCCACAGATCCAAACACTTGATGGAAATTTTTCTTTCTATCTTAAATCTTCCAAAACTAGTTACCTCTGAGGCCAATGAACTCAACATCCAGAGAGAGAACAAGAGAGTGATCACAGAATAATGGAAATGTTTTTAGTAGATGTTTGTATACTCGGTGAACTGCCACAGGGGACCCTATCTGAACAAAAGCAGCCAAAATAACACACATATGGGGAGGGCTAAAGAAAAGAATAAGATGTTCTATGCCCAATCTATAAAATCTGAGCCTGTGATGTGTTAGAAATAAATGCACGATGACTAATTTTGAATTTGGATAGTTCCCTCTCCTACAGCTTTGAAGCATATAGATTTTGAGTTTACCTTAAACCTTTCCCAAGGAGACCATAGGACCGCCACTATTTCTGGTGTCAAATCCTTTATAGTGATTTGCTATACAGCCCTGTCTTCTCAGCTCGTTCCAGCCCAAGCTCTTCAGCTCACCTCAGAGTCTGCCTGTCCAGGACTCACCCCTCCTGGCCAGCTCTGTCTTTTTCTTTATTGTGAGAGCTACACTTCCAAATCATGGGATTTTTCATATTCTTTGGCAATTTTTCCATTATAAACCCTCTGGTGTAAATTACCAGATTGTACTCTCTTCCTTTTATTTTGAAGGCATTTTCTGTGATGGCTAATACAATGCTATGCACTTACTAGATATGCATTATTTCCTAAAAGACCACTGGGATGATTTGCAAAGTGCCAGAATAAATCGAGCTCTTCAAAGGACAACAAAGTTCTGTAGCAATAATTCCATGTAAGCACATTGATAATACATTTAAACAGTAGGCATGCAAGACCAGTCCATACACTGCTTATTTCCATAACAGAAACCTAGACATAGCCAGCATAATAGTTTATGGAGGGGAGGAGAGCAAAGGGTTGGGAGAAAATTGTGTCTGGAGGAGTCGGAATCCCAGGATGAGCTGAATAAAAGGTTAAGCTGAATCCTGGATTTCTCAGTGGCTCACATGGCTCAGCAAGTAAGCATTACACTGGGAGGATTTAATAAAAGCAGCCTACTCTGTTCTTCTTAGTGGTGTTAGGATGACCACACTGTTGAGTACAATCGAGCACTGCACTTGTTGTCCAGAAACCTGGGAATTCTTTATAGCTCAATCCAGAACCAATTTCTGTCACATTCGATTCTCATCTGAAAACCGAGTGTGAAGGATGGCACTTTTCTTACCTGCCACACAGTGTGGTTTTAAAGATCAAATGATGCGATTCAGAGCTTAACAAAGAATAGGCACCAAAACACATTTGGCAAGTGACTAATGAATGTTGACAATTTAACCTGACCACACATGGGTGTGTACTATATGAACTATTATTAACAAATACAATCCTCACTAAATCAGGAAAGCCAACTGAGGTATTTTCTGAGACTTTTCACATCTTCCTTTTGTTTCATGTTCTATTGTTTCTTGTAGTTGCATGCATATCATGATTGTATATATGTGATTTAAAAAACAAAGGCAAATTCTAAGTAATTTATATTGATGCTATCTCTTCAAGGAGATGCAGCACAACACCCTACCTCTGTAGTGTGAGCTTTGCAAAGTGATGTCTTCCAAAGGGAACATTATAGAAAGGCGTGAAGAGAAGAACTTCACAGTGGGAGAAATCTGACCAGCACTACCTCAGCCAGATGATCAAGGTTAACATCGGCAGTGGTAAGACACGTAGATAGCATGTGCCCTTGATATCATGTGATCAGAACGACACCTGAGCTCTGTGATCTTCCTCCCCAAAACCTGTAGCCCCAGTCTAATCATGAGAAAAACATCAGACATCTCAAACTGAAAGACATCCTACAAGACACCTGACCAGTAGACCTCAAAACTGTCAATCAAACTGATATTGTGTGTATGTGTGTTCTTACCATTTTGTTTTTATTTTGTAAATAAAGGAATTCAAAAAAAAAAAACCTGTCAATGTCAAAAATAAGGAAAGTTGGAGAATCTGTCACATTGTAGAGGACATTAAGGAGAGATGACCAGTAATTGTAATGTGTAATCTGGGATAGAAAAAGAACAATAGGTGAAAACAAAAGAAATCTGAATGAAGTGTAGTGACTTAAGTTAAAAATAATGTATGAATATTGGTTCATTAGTTGTAACAAGTTTATTATATTAATGTAAGACCTTAAAAACAGGGCAGACTGGATGCTCAGTAAATGGAAACTGTCTGTACTATATTTGCTAACTTTCTGTAAATCAAAACCTATTTTTTTTTTTTTTTGAAACAGAGTCTCGCTTTGTTGTCCAGGCTAGAGTGAGTGCCGTGGCGTCAGCCTAGCTCATAGCAACCTCAAACTCCTGGCTCAAGCAATCCTCCTGCCTCAGCCTCCCGAGTAGCTGGGACTACAGGCATTCGCCACCATGCCCGGCTAATTTTTTGTATATATATTAGTTGGCCAATTAATTTCTTTCTATTTTTTTATAGTAGAGACGGGGTCTCGCTCTTGCTCAGGCTGGTTTCGAACTCCTGACCTCGAGCAATCCGCCCGCCTCGGCCTCCCAGAGAGCTAGGATTACAGGCGTGAGCCACCGCGCCCGGCCCAAAACCTATTTTAAAATAAAAAATTCATTTAAAAAGCTTTGATCTGGCAAAATGGAATTTTTTTTTTTAATGGATTTTGTTTAACTGAATACTGAGTTCTGATTCCTTAAACTCTGGTTTCTGTCGGGTGCAGTGAGGGGAGAGGTTTATGTGTGTGTGTTAACCTTGTCTTATATAGAGAGTATTTACTGAGCTTCATATATAATAACCAAAACAAGGCTGTTTGTCAGATGCCAGTTTAGGCATAGAGCATGTAGCTACCTTCTTCCTATTAGTGAATATTACTGAGAACAGTAAGATATGACATTCTGGCAAGGATTCTAACATGATAGCTCTAGCACCCAGAATGCTATTGGAAAGCATTTTAGACATAGAATCATAGTAAATGAAGTTAAGAACAAAGCCCTGTATTAGGAATCTGAAAAATTAGACCTTATTCCTCTCTGTGTGGCTAAATTGCTGTGTGATTTGGACAAATCTGACCACATGCCTGAGCTTTAAATGTTTAATCGTAAAATGATAACATTGGAATTCTAATAATTCACCTGGGAACTGATGCTCATTGATATTCGCCATTCACCCCAATTATCTTTAGTGCCACTTGAGAAGGATTCCCGGAGTGTATATTTTCTCATGACCCTTTGCTACAAAAATAGAAAGTGGGGTGTTTAGATGGAGGCAGAAATTATGTTCCCCAAACCAGAGCTATAAGCATAGTCAACTAACCCCTCACTAGTACCAGATAGGGAAAAAAAAAATCTCACCACTACCCACGCTGCCTGAGAAAAGTGACCTGTTCCACAAATGCTCTTTTCCATTCCTAGTGACTTGTTGAAAAGTTTGAGGTGCTAGACACCACGATCTGCTATTAGTCTTTGCTTAAAGAAAACAAGAGCAAAGAAATCCTATTCTGTTTTCCTAAACCAGTCTAAGTATGGACGTTGCGTATATGTGCAGACACATATACCTAAGTCCTCAGATTTTTCTCTTTAGTAATAAAACCTTACAGTGGATTCTTTATGAATGAGACATCAGGAGCAGACAGAGGTACTATTTGGCTGACCTTTAATTATCCTAGTGGAGAACCCAGAGCTTGGTGCCCTCATTGAATTTTCTTAGAACTGGGGGCATGTCTTCCTTTTTAATGTAACAACGCCACCAAAGAAACTGTACTCTGGGAATAGCTGTTTAACATGAGTTGAAACAGAATTTTATTTAACAAAAATCAAAGAAGTAATTCACAAATGATTCCCATAACTCTTTGGAGAAGCCTGGGCAGCCACAATAAGTTTATCATGTTGTTGATACAGACAACAATCCGAACCACCCAGGGGTCTGTGGGAAGTCAAACCCCAAGGGTTGGAGTAGACAGCAGCTTTCTGGGAGAAATTCCCAGGCAGCTTGTGAGTGTGGTTCTAAATGAGACTGGTGGGAATTTCCAAAGTAGACAGCACTTTGGGGGACCACAGCGGGACAGAGGAATAGGAAATCTTTTTCTTTTGGGGTAGGGCTGGGAAGGTTTCTCATGAGCAAAAACTAAGGATCCACAAGTTGGACTGGCTGCTTAGAGCCAAGTTACGAATGATTAATTCTATCAAGGAAAAGAAACAGTGCCTCCTTGCTAAGCTTTGTAATGGGGTTCATATAAATTTGCGTAAAATATTATGTGGGATTAGCGTAGCCAGCCAGGAATCAAGCTACAGGAGCCAAGAGGAGAATGGGAGCTCAGCCAACAGGAAAAGTGGGAGATGAAGTGGATCAAGCTTGCCAAGCCAAGGAGGCCAGCCAAACCAGAGTACAGTAGCGTGGAAACAAGAAGCGAGAGCCCCGCTCATCTGAGGGGTGTTATCATTATTATTATTGCTGTTGTTGTTAAAGTAAATTTCTTTGCCTCTTCTCCCCAAATGATATTCTCACTACATGATTATGAAGATGTCAATAAGGAGGTTCACTTGCTTTTTAGGTTCAGTTTTGCCCAGCAAGAGAAAGCAGAGATCCAGTGGGTTGGGAGGTGGAGAAGTGGGGAACACGGGTGGTCCCCCGTCCCCACAACCGTGGAAGACAGCAGAGGGAGCTGAACGTAGAACACAGGTCCACATCACCCGTCTCAGAATCCCGTATTACAACCAGGTCTAGGGGTCTCCCTGAGAGCACCCAATTCCTCACTTTGGCTTACTGTCTTCGTGACTTCTTCCATGGACCACTTTTCCAAGAGTTAGGAATGGAAGCTATGAACAGATATACCAGTATAAGCCCTATTATGTCTCCTCAGCTCCACTGTCCATAAAAGGGTTGCTGAGCCATATTCTTAGTGGGTATAAAAGTACCAGGTATTGGTCAGAACTAACAGATATGGGCCCTAACCCAATGTCACACACAGAGGTCTGCTGTTGTGACCTGACTCAGTCAGAACCTGACTGAGTTACACCAATGCCCGACCCCAAACCCCACCCCAGCACAATGGTCCTCAGCTGGGGGCAAAGTCTGCAAGCGTCAGGCGTGACCTCCACCAAGGCGGTGTGACCCTCCTCACACTGAAGCCGGCCTTCTTTTCCCCTCCCCAGTGTTCCCTGCACATTCTCAGCATGGACGTCTGAACTGAAAGGACACCAGCAATCTGTCAACAGCAGCTCCTCCAGGACAGAAGGAGGGGGAGCTGCCCCCTGGCCCAGCCAGTAGGAACGGCCATGCTCTGTCTCCAGAGGGA